AAAAAAATTTTTTATTCTATAATTAAAAAAAAATATTTAAATTTTTACAACATTATTAATTTTTTAAAATATATTTAAACATTTTTTAATTTTATAAAATTTTATAAAAAAATTTTAGGAGAATCTAAAAAAAATATCCAGAATTCATATAATTGTTATGATATTATTGAACATTTCCTTTTGCAATTTCAACGACAAGAATGGGAAAGTCACGTGTGTGAGATGTTTTAGTTAGCAACTCGAGTAGCGCCGTCTTCCCAGCCGAAATACATGCTATCCCATTTTCTTTCTTTTCTCTCATCGACCAGGTTTCTCTCTCACTTTCTTCCGTGCGATGAAAGTATACTGCAGGATTGCAAGTGAAGTTCGATCTAAATACGAAGGCGAACACAAGCGAGGAACGGAGGGAAACGCATGCGAGCTGCGCGCACAATCGATGATTCATCGCACAATCATAAAGTAATAATATTCGCAACGGATATTATATTATCTTTTTTTTTTGTACAGTTAAATGTAATCTAAAGCGTGGCTTTTATATCTGGTGTCAGCGAATGTACTTTCGGTTGTCAGATTTCAGAATTGACAGGTGTAATCACGCATTAGAACGTGAATTACACGCAAATGATTAATTGTTCGTTCCCCCGTATCGAATAGAATATCGAATCATCGTGATTTAAAATACTGTAGTTGCAAGAATTTGAAAGATTGCGACATCCATTTATAGTATATCATGACTTAAATCTCGTAAATACAATTTTGAATATAATTTTAAGCAATTTTCTAAGGAATATCCTTTAATTAATTACTTGGGAATAAAAAATTTTATCTTTTACGCATACGATTTTGAAGTACAAGATTGCATGTAGTACTTTTTACATTTCAAGTACGTTGATTAATATGACACTCCTTTTTCTCTCACGAGACTCGTTTCTGTTATCAACTAATGATGCCATTAAGAAGTACCAGAGATAGTTAGTAAAAAGTTTAATAAAAAAATGAGATTACTTTTATTGGAAGAAGTTGAAATGTGTGTGCGTGCATATTTTTATTTGTACATTTTTTAAATATATGTACATTTCGAAATATTACATTTCATAATATTATTTTATTAATTTAATAAAAGTATCGATAGGCTTCGAATTTGTATTAAAAGATTTTGATACATAATTGTGCTGAAAATGTGGAAAGATAAGCGTGAAGGAGTAGTAAATAGTAGTAAATCAGTTTCTGATTTATTTGGGTTTCATTCAGTACACGTGGTCTTGTTTCGCCTCTGCGTTATATCAGAGTGAATAGAAGTGCATATATAGGAAAGATGTGCATTTTGAAAGTTAGAAAGAAAAGCTATTTGCTACGAGAGAACGGATACGGAGCATATCTACATTTATATAAGGACTTCAATTCTGAAAAGCCAGTTCTATCGTTGCGCAACTATGTCGAGTGAGGCGCGATATCTATTAAAATACTATATTGTACTTCAAATTGTTATATACAAATCTGTTATATCTAGATACAAATCTATTTTTATTCTAATTCTACGATCTACGTATTAAAAAAAAATGACAAAAAATTATATAGAATTAAATACGGAAATATTACGAGAGTATCCGCGTATGTTCATTAAATATCTCACTTAAAGTTCAACGGATATTATTTGTCCTTTAAATCTTGATTTCTACTTTGATATTATGTATATATTATAATAATTTGATGAATTTCAGAATTTTTAATATGATTTTCCAAATTATTTTGCAGAATTCCCGTACAATTTTATAACTTTTTAGAAAGTTCTTTAAATTTTGTTTAGAAATGTTGAGAAAGTCTACATCTTTTTTAATTTTTTATACATGTGAATTATGAAGTATTACATATCTAAGATTTTTTATTCTATAATTTGCGAAGAACATTTATAAAATCTCAAGAAATTTAGTGTTTTTTTTAAATGTTCAAAAATTTTAATATAAAAGTTAAAAAAATTCTTGTAAATATATTGAGAATTTTTTTGTCAAATAAAAGAACGGAAATAGAAGAAAAGGAAAATGGACTTATTTCTCTATAATCGATTATTGCATTAAAAAATTACATTTTAAAATTAATATTGCAAAATCTTAACGATTCAAAACATTCAATTTTATTTTCGGGAAGACTTCATTTTTTAATTGTGTGATTGTTGTTGCAAATGAGTGATATACATTCAACATTTATACATTTATATGTAGGTACATATAAATAAACCAGTGAGACATTCAAATATCGTCAGAGATATGCGGAATGCCTTTGGGAATGTCTGTAGCTCACTATACTCTTTGTTATTTGCTTTATGAATTATTGGAATACACAACACCCACACAACGGAACTCAATGCACGTACCTGTAATTAATAATTGAGGCTAATTAAGCTCCAAGTAATCGAATATGTTCTCACAGTGTGTCACGTGTGTCCTTCGTAAATCAATATCTCTGACTTCCATCGTCTACTGCATGGCACCATGTAATCACATTTATTAAAGCACTGTAGCGTATCTTGACAGAACAAATAGTCACGTTATAATTATGTGCAACTCTCTCGATATAAATAAAGCCACGTAATGATCGCGGATGTATCCTACATGTAGCGGACAGGAGATTTTAAGGAAATTTTAGACGATGGACGCGATGTCTAATTTCAGAAATTTTACTGTACATTCGACAAGTCGTGTGATTTCGCGAGCGAGATAGAAATTTATGTTTCTCCGACATAATTTAAGCGATTTAAAACGAGATCGTCTCATCCTTTCCGGTTGGATGGATAACCGTGAAAGTTTTAACCGGCCACGGCCAATGTATCGGAAAGAATCTTTATGATCTTCGGGACATATCATCTTATTTATTTTGATTCTGACGTTCAATCGACTGGATCGTTTACGTTACTTATGAGATTACAATCTGTAAATAAAATGATTATTATAAGCGGTTGTAGAAAAAGCTCTTACACGTCAGTGTTACTCTAGTGTTCTCAGGCTTTCTAAAGCCCGCATATTATCTTTATACAACTCACAACGTGACCTATATATAAATATATATACAGGATGATTAATTTTAATTTTAACAGGTAGATATTTTGAAAATGTGTAATTTCATCAAAAACATTCTAAATAAAAGTTATACAGTAGTAATCATTGTACATCTTTTGTCCGTCTTTATACCATACAACTTTTATTTGGAACGTTTTTTTTTATCTGCTGAGATTAAAATGAATCATATACATATATATGTATATATACATATATAGCATTGATTAATAAACGCTTCGTTGAACTTTTATTCATTTGAAACTTCCTTTTTCCAAATATATATTATAAATATACAAACAATGTAAAAATATACAATGTAACAAATGTAATACCTTATATGAAATGCCACGTAAAAACTTAACGGAGATCATTTTATGATACGCCTTATAGATAAATGGAATATTTTCTATTATATTATCGCACTATAAACTAATCTTATTAGATAAATTCTTATTATATTACGTGCTGCTTTCAATCAACTGTTGCACGTATAAAAAGATCCTTTCTTTTATTTCCTTCTATCATAAATAATATATATGTATGTAAATAAATAATAAGATAATTCGTATTTTACACAAATTAAGTAATAAAATTCTAAACTACGCGATAATATAATAGAAAAAGTGTTAAATATTATACATGCACACACTCTTAACATGTAAAATAAATATAATTTCTACGTGCAATAAAAATGAGCATACAATGTACACTGCAAGTGAAATACACTATATACAAATAAGATACTGCATACGTTAACGCTGTACAATAGCATATTTACATTACTGTTATTTACATGAACAAATTTTATCTCCGCTCGTCATTGTTTGCATCGATTGTTTTGTTGATCCAATGCAGGTAATGTTGTATCTTAGTGTACACGTCTGGGTAGCCTGGTCTGGCACAACCGGATCCGAAAGATGTGACGCCGGCTAGCTGCCAAACGCCATCGGTACGACGACACTGCAGAGGCCCTCCAGAATCACCCTGAAGATTAGGATATAGACAAAAAAATAAGATTCAGTTCTATTCTGGTACATAAAGTTGCTCCATATTCATTATCAACTTCTAACATTGTAATTAGTATTATAATTAATATAAATATTAATATTAGATATAATATTAGATATTAAATATTAGATTATAATATTAGATATAATAGTTTACTTTCTGCTGAATAAATGAAAAAATCTTACAGAGTTTCTTCGCAGTTTTTCGTTGAAATAGGAATTTGATAAAATAGATTTAAAATGAATTTTATTTGTTGATAATTATTTTAAAATATTATTTTAAAAATATTATATCTAGAAAATACATATTATTGCGACTTCATTGATTTAATGGTGCAATAGGAATTCATTGTTATTAAAGAATCTTAATGATACATCACTAAGATTTTTTAATTTTAAATGTTTAATATTATGGATTTCTATATAAAAACATATACTTAGAATTCGAAAGCTTATTTCAAAGCGACAGTAATACTTGGCTATTCTTGAATATCTCGCGCGCCATCGATCGTGCATTCAATTTTATTATGAGAAAGTGCACGAGCGACGTAATTAACAACAAATTGACGCTTTCAAATAATAAAACGTGTTTGTGAACGATTCGTTTTATTCTCGGTAGCCAGTGCATGCATGTACTAACACGTTCACGCGTTTGTATTTTGTATGAATGGATTATACAGGGTGAATCAAGTTTTCCATTTCACTGCAATGATAAAACAGTTCTATCACATACGATTATAAATAAAAAGTTGGGACTTTCGATAACCTTTAAGAAAATAGGTTATTTTATAAAAATATTTTCTATATATCAATTTTATTTTCTATATATCTTTTATAAAAAAAATTTTTTTTTATAACATCAGAATATTTTATAAAATATATTTTATATTTTTAATTTATGAAGATTAAAAATACTTTTAATTCTTTTTCAAATAGATTTTACAGACTTGATAAATTTTCTTTGAAAATTGTAGAATGAGAAATCTTAGAAATTCTAGAATATTTCAGATTTTATATACATACATATATAATAAATTCTGGAAAATCTATATAGACACAAAAAATAATTATATAAAGAATTATAAGATTTTTTTTTAGAAAATCAGAGATTGACATGACTACATTTTTAAGAAGTATTACAAATTAATTTGTAGAAAGATGTAAAATTTACCACGCAGCTTCCCGAGGAACCGTCAATCTGACCGGCGCAGAGGTGGCCTTTTCTAATGGGTACCGAGGTACCATAGGCCTGCAGGCACTCCTCCAGATTTAGAAGCGGGACACTGGCCTCCAAAAGAGCAGTGGAGAGTGAAGGCGAGGGACCATATCGGCCCCAGCCGGAGGTCACGCATTGTCCTTCGCTGAGATCTTGTCCGGGACCAGGAAGGCAGATAGTACGGACGACCTTGGATAAAGGTGCCGGCCTGGCGAGTTTCATCAAGGCTGTAATAGCAAGATTTCTTTCAGGACTCTAAAAACTCACGACTCGCAAGATTTCTCCAGTTTCAGAATTTATTTAGGTAATAAGAAAAATGGATAGATTTAGTGAAAGACTTGATTTAAATTGAATAAAATTTAGGTTGATAAAATTGAGTTTTGTTGAATGAAGATTCTTCAAATTACCGGTATTCCAGAGATACAAGGACTCACCTATGTCGTGTACGTAATTATTGAATCTCTCATGGAGGATCACTTTCTCGACGGGCAAGCGTGCGGATCCGCGTCCTCCTGAGTCCAATTCCCATTCGCCGACCACCGCCGTCCATAGCGCACCGATGGGTAAATTGAACAATTCGCTGAAGTAAATATCCACTTGAGAATACGAAGCATAAGGTAAATATTCGAAAAAATACAGTATAAACTAAGAATATCCGCTTAAATATTAATTATAAATATCCATTTAATAATTTCGAATTAAGAATATATTGAATTAATGAAAGTTTAATGAGAGAGAAGAAGAATATTCCAAGTTTAAAGCAATAAAAAGTAATAGAAGAGTAATAGAGTCAACTACGAGGAAAAATTAAGAAAACTTTCTTGAAGAGTTTCCACAAAACACAAAGTCCAAAATCATATAGCACAAGATATCTTAATTCATATAATATTGGGACATACGATGAGTCCTAGTGACTCTGAGATTTTTCCCAATTTTTAAATAATAATGATTTGGAATATAATTTTTAAGTTTAACAATCTTATTTTTCACTGTTTTGAACTTGCAAAATTCTTTAATAAAATAAAAGTAAATACTTTAGTGAATCTCAAGAATCTATATATGTTCTTTTAGCGTCGAAAAATATGTTCCTGTTATGGGTTAGCCCCGGTTTCACCAATGTAAGAATTAACTTTAATCTTGGTTTAACTTACTGTGTGTGTGTGTGTGTGTGTGTGTGTGTGTGTGTGTGTTAATCTTTTTCTAATTCTTAGAATTAGAAGAGAAAATTGAATCGAGATTGAAGTCAGTCTTACATTGCTGGAAACAGGCAGAGAGACTTTGAGAGACTTTGTATTGTCTTGTGTGGGTCGAGAAAGAATTTGAAGTTTTAGTAAAATTAAAATTGGAACAACAAAAAAAAGTAACTTTTTAGCTAAAGCATTTTGTAGAAACATCGAACTCACTTGTGAATGCAGTGGGCGGCGGTTATCACCCATTTAGGATCAATCAGCACACCGCCGCACCAATGACCGATAAAGCCCAGTTTCGGATGCAATAACTGAAGGGACACCTGCCAAGGCCACGCGCCCCTTCGGCTCGGTTTGCCGTTGAAGATGCGGCCGGTGGTGGTTGTGATCGTTGACAACGAGACATCGTTTTTCGGCTGGACCTTCGGCAAGACAATCGAGCGCGGCTGCCTCTGTGATGCTGCTGGACATCCGCACTCTGTTATCCGAAGCCGCTTGTATTTGTTTAATGCTTCCATCATTAGTAGCGAGATACGAACTTACAATTAGTATAAATATGACACCAGGAATATTCGGGAAAATTTAATGGTGAATTCAGTCATTCGCACTACACAATGCACGCATTAAAAACTACTCCTAAGGAATACAAAAAAATCAACAAAAATAAAAATGACTTTATTTTGATTCTTAACCTCAATAAACAGTTAAATTAACTTTCATAACGTTAAAATAAAGTCATTTTAACTTTCTTTTGATTTGGTGTGTGTTTCTTGGATTTATATAATTGAAGTATAAAAATACTATAATATTATATATATATATATATATATATATATATATATATCAACTTTGACAATGAAATAATAGAGGTGTATTCGGTTAAATAACGCGACAGATATTTAATCGTTAAAAATTTTATTTGTTAGAATGCCAAGACTCTTTGCAGTATCATCATGTTTGAGATTTCTCAAATAACTATTTTAATGTCCCAACGAAATTATTTTCAGATCTATATCTAGCTGAATTTTTAGATATACATAAACAAAATCGTTTCAGTGTTTATGCTTTTACGTTTAACTTTGATAATTTCATGTTTAACAGTTTTTCAGTAATGCGAATGACTGAGTTTGCTAAAAAAGTGCAGTAGGACTCAAGCTGTGTTAAAAACTTATCTAGAATTTATAAGTAATCGGTAGATAAGAGTGAAGTACACATAATAATTATAATAAGTATAATTATATAATATAATTGCAAAGATATTTTAGAATATTATTAGGATTATATAGTAAAATACTAAATACACGCAAATCATTTAAAGTTACAGGGAGGTATAAGGAGAATCTAAAATTTAAGCGGATGATATTTCAAAAATAAAGATTCCAAATTAAAATATAAGTGTTAAAAATTTGAAAAAACTAAAATATTGTTTACAATCTGGAATATATAAAATGATGAAAGTATAAAATTAATCGAGAAATTAAAGAATTAACTATACATTTCAAAAATTGCAAATTATATGTTTTAAAGATTACAATAATCTTAATCTTAATTAAAGGCTTTAAGATATTTTTGTTCTTAAGCTGAAAAAAAAAGAAATGTCTTATAAAGAGAATCTTATCAAATTTTAAAAAAAATATACCAAATAAACAAACACATTTAAAAGTACACGCATCATTAAATAAAGAATTATGCTCGAAAAGGGATATAAAATCAATGTAATTATTCAAGTATTATCAAGACAAATTTAAATCTTAAAAAAATAACGCTTTTGAAGATATTGAGTATGTTTAATTAATAGAATTTTCTTTTATTTTTCTGTGACGTTACTATTGCACGGAAGAAAAGAAACATTCCTGATAAAATTTTAAGGGAAATCGCAACGTCGAGGAATTACTTACTAAAATGATCCTCCCGGATGATTCTTATCATGGCACACTGGGCCTCCGCGAGAACGACCACCAGCAGGACAAGCAAATCACCACGAATACGATACATTACCAGCGAAATCAAGAATATCCGCGCTGGATCACCACACCGATCACTATGATCTATGGATCTGCATAGCCTGACTAGCCTCGACGACGCCGATCGATCCTCGAGTAGGATTAGCGCGTCGCGAAGAGCGGATCCTTCGGTACGAAGCGATCTCGAAGAAAGTGATCGTTGAATAGTGCGGGAGAGGGGAAAAGCGAGTGATGCGGTCTAGCAGATGTTGAGGAACATGAGAAGCGTTTAAGATCATAATTTATGGAATGGAATCTTGACGCCAATTTTAATTAATGAAGATTCTTCAATCTTAAAAACGCCCCTTTCAAAATAAATGTGGAAAAGAGTAATAGGTTTTTCGTTCATGAATTTAAATGTTTCAAAAATAGATAAGTATTATGATTAATGTCTTTATTTATAATACAATTGAAAATTTATTGAAATATACATAAGTTAAATTTTAGTCTTTAAAATTACTTAAAAATTCACTTTTTTTTTAACAACTTCCTCTATCGATTATATATTTTTTATTTTTTAATTTGTAAAAATGTGCCTGAAGATTAATTGTTTGTTCTTAGATACTCAGAATCTGATGAGATTCAATGAAATCTTTATGTCTTCTAAACCGTAAGTTTTTTTGAGATTTTTAATTAATTCTTCTGTATCAATTGGTATTATGATGAAAATAAACGGATAAATGAGATTTTCCTTTCATTTCAGTGGCTAGGATGGAAATTGACCGAAAGAAATCTTATTTATAATCCATCGAGAACTGCGATAAAAGAAATTAGCGAATCGAATCGATTAAAAAGGAAGAAGGTGAGAAACTTTCTCTCACTGTAAGATAAAGCTTAATTACAGGATTATTCGAATTCGGAGGGCTTTTTTCCCTGGTAAAATTTCGACACCGATGCATGGAAAATTATGCGAATAGTTGGGCATATTGCTAATTAGCATTCAGATAGCTCGAGGAAAGAAACCGAGGGAACTGAGGCACAATTCAAGAGTCTCTCTTCTTCTCTCTCGTTCACACACTCAAACGAGGCGACAACTTTCGAGAGCGAATCACTCTACTAGTACGAGCTGAGAGAAACGCGGTCGATATAATGATATAATCGCTAAGACTAGATAATCCACTGTTCTGGTTTGCGTTGTCTCGATTGCAGGATATCGCGTTTGTAGAGAATCTATAAACATGCAACTGAAGATTTCTAATAACATTCGAATTATATTCGAAAGATAATTCGGTTTTTGTACAGAAATCTAAATATGAATATCTAGACAGCACAACTGATTTATTTGAAAAGTATTCACCTTTTTAAGTTCTTTAGGAATTGGTATAATTTGTTTTGAACTAAAAAATAATTAAAAAATTTACTCACAATAATCAGTTGATGTATACGATGTATATCAAGTAGATATACAGAAATCTTCCAATATATATGTATATTTCTGAAGAATTTTTGTTTAAAGGATGCTATTATAGAAAATTAATAAAATATGCAGCTGGCTCAAATCTATTTCGCTGTGCGCGAAATAGAATGAGAAAGTGAAACTGCATTTACAGTTCTTAAAAAGATCTTATAGAAAGAAAAAAATAAGATAATACGTCACTGTTGTTTCCGATTTTGTATATATATATATATATATGTTTATCATGTTTATCACGACGCATCGGAATTAAATGTAACAATAAAAATTTACAGAGTGAAATAAATAACAACATTTTTTACATACTTATGTTTATCGAATAAAAAACTCTGGAAAAGATATAAACTTTCTTAGCGTTTTGAAAAATGTTTCGATTCGTATAAAAAATTTGAAAAATTTCCCATAAATCACAAAAATTAAAAAAAATTATATTAATTATTTTCTTATTCTAAAAAAAAATTGTCGTAGGATGAGGGAGAAAAGATTAAAAAAAGATTTAAATAAAAAAACTTTTTAAAATAAACTTTTGTATATAATAATGTAAATTTAAATATTATCCCAATTGTATTTAAATTAAAATAAAGAATTTATTTAGATGAACAAACACAATAAAAATAGACTTTTTAGATTCTAGCTGGTTCAATCATCAGCACACAATATTTAAAAAATATTTTTTTAATATGTGCTGATTGGGTGGTTGTTTTATTCATCTTTTTACATTAATATATGAGAAAATATATACTAAACTACTACAAAGAGCTTTTTTTTTTAACAAAAATGATGTCAGCTATCGCTGTAATTTTTCGAAGTATTTATAGAGCAAAGGTTTTCAATAATTTCTATCAAATGAATCATTGCTATCTTCCCATTTGAAATTAGTTTTCAATTAAATACTTCATCTTTATGATGTTTGTATATCATGATTATCAGGTTCGTTAATGTTTTATTAGACTTACTCTATAATGATAGTGTTAATATCCTTATCGTTGTGCAGATATAATATGATAAGAAAGCTATGTAAAAATAATGAATGGATTTATGGAGCTGCATGATGTGTACATACAAAGTGTAAAGAAAACATATACTTTGAAATAATGTTGGCAAACCTGACAATCATGCGATGGAAACCAATTTCAAGTGGCAAGGTAACCAATGATATCTTTCATGTATCACTCTTATTTAAATATGGCGGCTTTACTTCAAATAGAGAGCTATATAGAGATTTTGAGCGCATATCAGAACATTCAGAACAATCAGAAGTCTGTTTCACGTGCTTCTGTTGCCAATGATGATAGCACTTACGAATTTTAAGTTATTGAAATATTATAGATCTGCATGTGTGACGTGTAAATATTTGTATAATAAAAGAAATGTGTATTATGTTAAGTTCAGTACCGAAAGTGGCGAGAAAACCGGCTCCGAGACCGTCACGTTTTCTGATGGGTAAGGTTAGGTTATTACGTTCATACACTTTAACCTGTATGTCAAATTAGATGTGAGATATTAGACGTTTATATTAGATATTTTATGAATTTAAAATGAAATATTTGTATTCTGTTATAAAACATTTATATATTTAAAATCAATTGTTATATATAATTTATATTAAAAAAGTTAAATAATGTATAAACAAAAAATAATATAGACTGTTATAGATATTTTTATTTTTACATTTTAGATGTTTTATAATGAGTTTTCTTTTATCTCTGCAATATTACTTTTTGATAGAAGGATTTTTTAATTATTTTTATACCGATTTTTCTGCATCTTCGTAAATTTTAATTTAACACTGAAAAATTTATCTGAAGTTGACGGAGAAATATAATTTTTTTATTTATAATTTTTAAAGATTATTAAGAGAAACCTCTTGTTTTCAATTTGTTATTTGAAGTGCTTAAAAATTGAAGAAGAATAAACTATTTAATTAATTTATATATATTGCCGATTGATTTATATATTTTTATATAAATATATCCAGCAAGCCACTCCAGTTTTCTACGGGCAAATATGCACGTTTCGCTGATGGTTGCGCGGTTGCAACTCTGGGAGACACTTCTGTCATGGTTACGGCAGTTTGTCAGCATCAGTCAACTACCTCTTCGTTCCTTCCACTCGTCGTGGACTACAGACAAAAGGCAGCAGCAGCCGGTCGCATACCAACCAATTTCTTACGAAGAGAACTTGGACCAAGTGAACATGAAATTCTTACGAGCAGGGTCATTGATCGATCCATAAGGCCATTGTTTCCAGAAGGATTCTACTTTAATACCCAGATAATTTGCAATATGTTAGCTGTTGATGGCATGAACAATCCTGATGTTATTGCTATTAATGGTGCCTCTGCAGCTCTTAGCGTTTCTGATATTCCTTGGAATGGTCCTGTAGGTGCCGTTAGACTCGGAATGATTGATAATGAAGTAATAATCAATCCTACCAGACGTCAAATTCAAGACAGTATGTTAAACCTTATTGTCACTGCGACTAAACAAAATTTAATAATCATGTTAGAAGGTTCGGCTAATGAGATATTGGAGCCATATTTAAGGAAGGCAATAAAACAGGGAGTCAAAGAATGCCAGAACATTGTAGCAGCGATAACAAAATTGCAAAAGACGTGTGGTAAATCGAAGAGGGAAATTAAAACAACTGAACAACAGGAAGACGATAATTTGAAGAGTTCTGTGAAAGAATTCTCGGAGGGAAAATTACAAGATATATTTTCGAATCATACACATGATAAGATATCGAGAGATATCGCAGTAAATGATCTTAAAAATAGTGTTATTAAAACATTGCGAAATGATAATGCGGATTTAGATGTAAAATTAGCAGAAAAAATCTTTGGAAAAATTGTTAAAGATGTATTCAGGACGTTAATTTTAGAGAAGGATGTCAGGTAGTTTTTCTTGTACTCCTAAGTATAAGATATTTATTGCTAATCTACAAATGATGGTAGAATTAAGATTTGACGATTCGCAGGTGTGATGGGCGTTCACCAAATGGTCTACGCGATATATCGTGTCAAGTAGATCTCTTTAATCCTCTTCATGGTTCGGCTGTATTTCAAAGGGGTCAAACTCAAGTTATGTGCACTATCACTTTGGATTCTCTGGAAAGTGCACTTAAAATGGACGCCACTTCAATGTTAATTAGGTACATTAAAAAAAAAAAAATTAAATTTCAATATAATTTTTTCTTTTATACTAGTTTATTTTGTTTTATGGCACTGCAATTATATCACGATAAGTCCAAGTTCTGAATGTTATTGTTCTAGGGAGATTTAAAAATGTAACATTAAAAACAATATTACAAAGAGTATTCCATATTATGCAAGGTCTATGCAAAGTCTTATGAGCGAAACAATATATAGATTTATTAAATATAAAAAGAACAATTTTAAACTATATTATAAACGTTTCGGTCTTAATTAGACCATTTTTAGTATACATATAATAAATAAATTAATTCGAACTGAGTCATTCTTTTCAAATTATGTACACATGAATATAGTCCGTCAAAGGACGAATTTATATAAGCTGCATATAACTGTTGTAACAAGCGTTTTTACGTCAATTTTATTGGAACTGACAAGGCTTTAGTTTCACAATTTAAGGCATCTGTCAATTTAATTGCGATAACATCTTGGTTGAATTAATTTATTATATAT